ATGCAAGCACTTGATTCCGATCGTTCAGTTTGTATGCCAGCTATATACTATAGTGATCCGATCTATACAATTTCTTCGGAGATTACATTTTTGTCTTAGGCAATACCACATGCCAAATTTCGTTAACAAATCTCGTCAAATGAAAAAATTTACCATGCACTATGCAAATCAAGCAACAATGATTGTATTGGGGTAAAACTTGCGTGAATAATGCGTTTAGGGTATGCCACCTTGTGGCCAAAAACTGTCTAAAACGAACCAAAACTGTTCAAGCCGCTAAGTACTGAATATGTGGACCCCTGTTCCTATAGTTGACTTTTTACCGAAAATATCGGTCAATGTGTAAGATTTATAATTGAAATTCATATAATAAAATAAATAAATGAAATTCTCGACAATAGTATGCTTTTGTGTCAAAAATGGGTTGAATCGGATCAATACTTCCTTTAATATACAATTTTGCCAACACCTGACGTAATTGCCCTAGCAAGTTGCCAGTATGTGATGCTACAACTTTTAATATTTCTGTGTTAATCAACTTTACCCCAAGATGACGCTCTATATCAGCACTTCTACAATATCAAACCGAAATTGTTAGATGACTTTCTTATTATTTAAGTTATCACATTTACAAGTATAGATAAGTAACCTATTTTCGATGTATAACACTGATTTTTTACCAATTAACCAATTAATATTCTTTAGTCGCCGTTTGTTATTTATTTTCTTTTTTGAGAGACCCTTAGAGAAGTAACACTTCTGTAACACGTAGTTCCACGCAGACATTTATTTATATTGTTTCGTTATCTATATTTTATGAAAACGTTTCCATTTTACAAATTTTTATTTGTACTCCTTTTATTGTCTTCTGCCAGCTGAATGGATAATCATTATTTATTATACTCACCTCCAGGAATATTTTGACATAGGTGTGAAAACATAATTCCCAGCTATCGATTTCATTTAACCACCTCACCAATATGTCAATTTACTTAGAATTTCTACTATTGATGTGATTATTTACAATTTTGGTGTCGTCAGCAGCCAACTATTCGTAAAAGTGTACCGATCGAATAAATTTATTTATGTATTCAACTTAACATTATTCTTAAAGCATAAAGTTTCGAATTGCAATCAAAGTTACTTTAATCTTTCACGAGCAACGAATATTTTTTAATGAAAACATAATTGAAAATTGCACAAATCTTTGAATATGTTACAGGGTAAGGATGTCAGACAAAAGCCAATTTTATGAGAGAAGGGAATAATTCTTTACGTAAGAAATTTCATACCACAAAAATCCACTACAATATAGCTCCATGTAATCGTTAGACATCGGAAGTTAACATCGGGAGATGGTTTATCTTCCCCGAGTGCTATATCTGAGGTTATCAATGGTAGTGATAGACAAATTAAAGGATCTCTTTCAGTAGATTTAAATATGTTTAACCTAAAAATCTATTTAAATACGCACTCTTTTAATTCGATTATGCATAATTATAATTTTTAAACATTCGATAAAAGGAATAAAATCAGTTTTTCATATCTCACACTTTAAGCGAAAGTAAGCAATATTTAATTTCGATTTGCAATTCATCTAAATTAATATAATTTTATAATATTCGTGTTCGATTTCGATTTCGTTTACATAGCACTGATATTCATACACATACACATACAATATGATTTCATATGAATGATGCATTGCTCATCTCTTATCGCTGGTAATAGTCACTTGTTTACAAGTCACTCCAGTCACAGCCCCAAGCACTTAACTATTTCTACACTTATGTTTCTACGCATCTTCAGCATAGTAGAGCCCATCCCACAAATGCTATTGTCTCATATGCTTCCTTCACAGCTACTTAAAAGTTCTCTGATTTCGTAGTGTATAAAGCATGAATTACACACTCTTTCGAAAAAAAACCCGACTGGCCAACCGACGTAGCGACCATACACCATCGGCAATGGCATCATTCATCTTTCGCAAAGATTGCCAGTCGAGTTGACAATTTACAAGCGCTTGCTGAGCTGCAAAAAAATAGGAAAAAATACAGTTTTATTAGCAACCGTAGTAGTCACGTTAAATAAACGCGAAATCTCAGCATCACGCCAAAAAACATAGAGAGACTTACTATTATGTTTATCACTTTGTGCCCACTACTGAATATGTTAGCCGCATATTTATTTAGCAACTCATTGTTTGTATGCGAAGAAAAACAACAATTTTCATTCTCGCCAATATGTCTTAGCCGCGCTTGCCCGATGGCCTTGAAAATGAGTTATGTGCGCAATTAATATCACCATTTCTGCGCATTTTTCTTATTATGCTCACTTTATTGAAGTTTATTTTTTCACACGCACTTAAAAAAGCTGCCGTATGCTTTGATAACATCAAAAGTGTATTAAAAATTTTATTTGGCTATTTCGCACATATATAATATAAAGTTATTGCCTTCAGTTTTTACTTGGCGTGTAATACTTCGAAGCAAATCACTTTTATTATTTTTCAATAATTCAGTTAATTCCCTAAATGCGCTCTGTTATATATTCTTTTAAATCAGTTAAATATATATTTTTTATTTCTTAGCTTGTCATATTACGTTGAATAAGAAGAAAAGCAGAAGGGGTATTAATTCGTTGACACATCATCTTCCCTCATAATTATTTGTTTTTTTATTTTTTTCTTTTACCTATATAACCCGCGAGCCACTGAAAGTGTATCCACACGAAGATTTCGATCGTCGGATAGAACGCGAATTAAAAAATGAACACGCTCCCATAATCATGTTAACACTTTGTCAAACAGATAAAATCACAGATCAGTTACCACCAAATAAATATCTTGGAGTGACTAAAGAGAGATGCCCGCCACGTCTATGGAAGTCACATTACAAAATAGGTGTTTTGATGTGAAAATGTTAAATGTTAAGGTATGCCCTTTAATTGCTTATGCTAAAAGTATTGTCCTAAAACGTCTTAGTTTAACGTGATTCTTTATTTGAGAAAATATTTATTCAACCTAGTTCTCATTGAGCGACCTTACAACTTGTCAATACCACGTTTGAAGTACGATTTCATTTCTTCCAACATTCTCTTGAGGTCTGAGGACTGGAAAAGCCGCTGTGCCAGATCAAAAAAAAAAAACCGGTGGATGGTAAAAGCAATTTGAAGCCCAATTCATGGAACTTTACCATTGTTAGTAAAATTAATTAATTAAACCTCAAGTTAAGGATTTTATATTGCTTAATTTTATTTAAAAATAATATTATCTATCAATTATACACAGTTACATATCTATTACAAGTTATGTCAGTACATTTAATTTCAAAAAAGTCCTATTTTGCTGATCAAACTTTGTTAAAAGTGTTCAGCGTCAATAATATAATATTTTAAAGGGTCCACTATTTTTAAAGGATCATTGATGTTTCTTTACCAAATTTTGCACATATTCCCCCAAAACAGATGAAATTTTCTACTTTGGTTTCTTTCGATATATTTACAGTATTGGCCAACACTACAGCACACTCAAGTGTGTTTTTATCATTTTAAAAATTCTTCTGAATTTTAAAGTTTCACCTAAAACAGTTCATGGTAGTCAGAAATGCAATGGTCAAAATTAAGCACCCCGCTATATAAAAGTGAAAAATTACGTTTCTGTGCTAATAGTTGTTTAAATTCAGTCATTTCGAATAACTGCTGCATATCTTTAAGGCATTGTTTTACATTTTCGTTGTAATTCTACATTTTTGTACACTCACAACATCTCGCTACAGAGTACAATAGTTTTGTTCACCTTACTGCTGTTTGTCACACCTGAAACTAATCAAGATATATATGTAGTTATAAATATACATATATATGATTAGGATTATAAGTCAAGTTAAAATCCGGATGATTGTCTATCCGTCTGCCCGTTTGTCCGTCCGTGCAAGCTATAACTTGGGTGAAACTTCAGATATCGCAATGGAACTTAGTACACATGATGCTTGGCACGATAAGAAGTTATGTATGGGGCGGAATCGAACTAATGTCACGCCCATAAACTGTCGTTAATCGAAAGCATATTAAATGCCATAACTAAGCTGCAAATTAAAATACAATACTAAACCGTAATTTGGTACAGCGAATCTCAGATTGAAAATTTTTAAAAAATGGGCTTGACCCCGAACCCTAATAAGTTTAATGTACATATATCACAAACCACTAAATATTATATATAATATATGAACCAAATTTTCTCCGGAACATTTTTTTCGGTACTTTCTTCTACAGTGTAAAAACAGTTGGACTTGGATGACAACCAAGGCCACTCCTCGTCCACTTTTAAATTCCAAATAATTGCTTCATTTAACAGAAGAGTTAATGACCTTATCGAAATAAAATTTTTCACAAGTACTATCTTAAAGATATTCCATCTCAAATCTAAAAACCTGAGGCATCGGACCATAACCAAGGCCCTAGATAGTGAATATATGGACCTCAGTGCGCATGGGTGACTTTTCAACGAAAATATCGGTTAATTTGTGTCAAGTGTTGAAATTTAGTGATAATTTCAAATATTCTCTTTTTATGATAACAGCATGCGCTTATGTTAAAAATAGGTAAAATCGGGTAAATACTTTCCCTAGAGCCCATATACATAATATAAAGATTTTCGAACTTCCTGTTGACTTTATACCGCTTACATTGGTCAATATGTGAATTATCTTTATGAAACTCATATAGTGTCTTTTTCTGGTAATAATATATCGTAGTGTCAAAATTGGATAAAATCGTGTCAATACTACCCCTATCCCCACATACCTAATATAAGAATTTCAAACTTCGGGCTGGCATTATACGGTATACATCGGTCAATATGTAAGATATCTTAGAAAAATTTAGTGTACGAATAATACTGTGAAAATGTGTCAGTGAAAATGTGTTAAATCGATCCGCTAATTATCCAAGCTCCCATATAAAGTGTGATCAATTTCGAGGATTTCTACTTTTTTAAAGAAAAAAACACAGAAAATTTAATGGGGACTGTTTATTATCATTCGAAAGAACATTCTTTGGCATTTCTTTTTTGAAGGTTATCTTTTCGAAATGTTGGCCGATGCTACGGCATAGATGATCCATCCGTTGAGTCCAATTTTTGATGACTCGTTTGAGCATTTCGACTTATAACTGGCGAATGACTCGCGTGATGTTTTCTCCAAAGCGGGAAGTGGCGCCGTCTTGTTGAAACCAAATGTCGCCGATACCACGAGACTCAATTTCAGGCATTAAATAGTCGGTTATCATGGCGCGATAACGGTCGCCATTGACGGTTACGTTCTCATTGGCATAATTTTTGAAGAAATATGGACCAATGATTCCACCGGCCCACACACCACATAAAACCATTGTTGCTTTTCTGGATGAAATGGCAGCTCTTGAATCTCTTCAGGTTGCTTTACGTCCCAAATGTGGTAATTTTGCTTGTTTTCAAGAGCCCATAGTGCGAAGCGATGTCGCTTGGGAAGGTTAAGCGGCTTCAGTTCTTGCACAAGCTATATTTTGTACGCTTTCAATTTAAGATCCCGACGTAAAATGCGCCAAGTCATTCCATACGTCAATCCGAGTTGCTGCGAAAGGCTCCGAATCGACTCTCCGACATGTTCAAGAGTAATGCCAAAAGCTAATGCAATCAGTCCAGACCTTCCTCTGGTTGATGTTTTTTTCATATACCCAATATAATAAATTTAACTCCTTTGGTTGAGTTTATATCACATACATCTCATTTGGGTTAACTAGGTTGATTTAAATATAAATATTTCAGACGACTTATAATTTAGGTTAATAAGATACCAAATATAATTGTAATTCATTCAGGACTTCTTCGAACAATACATTGTACGCGTGGTAGTCCACATTTTCTTATACGCCCAGGTTTGTTGCTCAAATATTTTCGCTAATTTTATCTCGAGATAAACGACTGCTCCAATAATGTATTATTTGTCTCTAAATCTTGAATGTTATCTGCTTATTTTCATTTCAATATTTTGATACTACTGGAAATGTGAGCCCTGAACTACACAACTAACATTTTGTAAAACTTCGTTCAAATACGTTTCGAAGAAGTTTTAACTTAGTTTTAACTTTTAAATTAAGAAGAAAATTAAAACAATGTCTAAATATTTTTTGGATACTCGTAAATTTCATAGATGTAACGATTTCTTAAAAATGTGTCCTTATAGTACACATAAAACCTTTATAAAACAAAAATATCAAAATTGTCATTAGACAAATAGAACCAAATTATGACATTTCGAAAATAGTGATTTGATCTTAGTCATCATCAATGAAAAGCCCAAAAGTTAAATGAATAATACATATTAACAATGGATATGCCAATGTTATGAAATCATCAATGATTTGTCTAGCTTCGGCAAGAATGATCCAAGGTTTTCATGTATTTCATAAAATTATATGTCACTCCCAGCAGAATAAAAAAGAAATTCGCCACCTCTTTTGCATCGCTGTCCTTTAAATCAACAAATGATTTATAAATGAGAGTGAAGAGAGGAACAGACACAGAAGACGATATTACAACATGCATACGGAAAGCCGAAAGAGCGTTCAGTGACCCTAAGCAGTAACAAACGAGATGAAAAGCAACTGTAGCGAATAAAGTAAAAAACCATAAAAATATAATAATATTACAACAACAAATTGAGAATGTCAGTGTCAACTTTGGTGGAAAAATCCAGCGCACCGCAGAAAATTACAAACTTTAAACGGAAGTTGATGAATCAATAAAAACTCGGCGATATTGGGATTGAGTTTGATAAATAAAAGCCGAAGACAAAATAAATTAAAATAAATGAAACTAAAAGTACCGAAAATACCTATTTAAGCCTTTAAAGGTAAACCGGTTTACGGTGGCCACAAGGTAAGTTACTAAACCTAGATTTTTGGACAGCAAAAGTGCTACTAGGTTTATGTACAAACGTAGGCTTATACTATGTGACAGTGACTTCAGCCAAATTTCGTGCGCCAAGTCA